CTTGGTCTCCCTGTCTCTGTCATCCTCTCTCTGTCTCTGTTCCTCTCTGAATGTTTCCATCTCTCAACGTCTCCACATTTCTGGGCTCCGTCTCTGTCATGTTGTGTCCCTCTCTCTGCCTCCATCTCTTTCTTGTCCACACCTCGCTGTTGCCATCTCTTCCTGCCTCTCTCTCCGTGTCTGCATCTCTAGCCTATCTTTTTCTCTCTGTGTCTGAATTTCTCTCTCTGCTTCCATCTTTCTTGTCTTCATCTCTGTATCTATCTATGGTAGGTTGCTCTCTTCCTCAAGTTGATTCTTCCCGTGTGTCTTTCTCTGTAGCCATATAGATTTCCACTGCCAATTCCCTGTCTACCTCTCTAGCTCTGTCTCTTTCTCTCTCTCTCTCTCAAATCTTCCTCTGGCTTAATCTCTCTGTCTCTGTCCTGGCTCTCTCTGTCTCTATATCCCTGTGTCTTTTTCTCTGTTTCTCCATCTGTCTCTATCTCTTATTCTTTGTCTTCCTTCTTCTGCCTCTCTTTTCTTTATTTTTTTTTTCTTTTGTCTTCTGTCTTTTTCCGTGTCCGGCAACGGATCGCAACCCTCAGTGTTGCCCCCGTACCGGACCGGGGACCGGCAACAGGATCGCAACCCTCGGTGTTGCTCCCGCGCCTCGCTCAGCCAGCAAGCGGGAACCGGTCTGTATGTGGGATCCGAACCCTCGGGCGGGAGCGCCACCGCGCTTCCCAAGCGGCGCACTATCCAGTGCCCCACCGGGCCGGCCCCTGCCTCTCTTTTCTACTTCTGTATCTTTCCCTCTCTCTCTCTCTTTCTTGTCTCCCTGGCTTTCTTTGATCTCTTTCTGTCTCTCTCCTTCTCTCTCCCTCTCTCCACCTCTCTGTTAACTCTGTCAGTGTCTACATCCCTCCCCCTCTCCCAGCACACTACCCTCATCCCAGGCCCTGCTCTGGCCCCCACCTGCATCTCCTCCATCCAGTCCACCATGTACACCATCTCCTGGAAGACCTTCTGCAGGGCCAGGTTCTGCTCGAGTCGTGTCCGCCGGGCACCCACCAGCCCAGTCAGCAGGGCCCACTGGCGCAGGACGCTGTCACGCTGGGCTGCCACCCGCCGGGTATCATAGTAGCCTTCAGCTGCCAATGCCTGGGCCAGCTCTGCCACACCCTGCACCCGCTCCTCATAGGCTGCAATGTCTGCCTCAATTGCTTCGTGCTTCTTCATGGCTGCCTCCACTGCTGGCAGCTCATACCCAAAGTTGTCCTGGGACAGTGCAGGCCACAGACACTCACCCACACCGCCTCAGCAGCTCATCTGTTACCTTGACCCTGTGTAACCCTGGAAACTACCCCCCATTACCTAGGAGACCAGCCTCATCTTCTCTAGTTACCCCGGAGACTAGTCCCACCCTCCCCTGTTACCCTGGACACCAGTCCCATCCTCTGCTGATACCCTGGAGACCAGTCCCACTCTCCTCTATTACCCTGGAGATCAGTCCCATCCTCTCCCGTTACCCTGGAGACGAGTCCCATCCTTTGCTGTTACCCTGAAGACCAGTCCCACTCTCCCCTGTTACCCTGGAGATCAGTCCCACACTCTCCTGTTACCCTGGAGATCAGTCTCAACCTCTCGTTACCCTGGAAACCAGTCCCACCCTCTCCTGTTATCCTGGAGGCCAGTCCCACTCTCCCCTGTTACCCTGGAGATCAGTCCCACACTCTCCTGTGACCCTGGAGATCACGCTCCTCTGTTACATCTTTAACTCTAGACTTGTTATCCAGAAAACAAGCACCATCCTTCTATTGCCCTGGAGACTGGGGACCAGGTCTACCCTATTCTGTTACTTAGGAGACCAATTCTATCCTCCTGAGTTACCCTGAACACCAGATACAACCTCCCTTGTCACTTAAGAGTCTACTTAAACACTCTTCCTATTTCTGAAGAGATTAATTCTGCCTTCTCTAGTTACCCGAGAGACCAGCTCACTCTCCTGTTACCATGGAGTTCAGGCCCACTCCCCTCACCCACCAATCACTTAGACTAATTCTCCCTTCTCACCCTCATTTATCACCCAGGAGAATAATCCGACCCTTCTCTGTTGCTTGGGAGATCAAGTCTTCCTCTCTGGTCCCAGGGCCATTAGCCCCACCTCCATCCCTTTGCCCCGGAGCCAAGCCCTACACCTTGTACCTGAGATACCAGGCGCTGGTTCTCATTCAGCCAGCTCTCCCTCATAGCCACCTTGTGGTCAAACCTCTGGGCCAGTAGTTCCAGCTTCTCTTGCCGGATCAACTCAGCCCGTAGGGCAGCCTCCCGCTCATGCTCTGCCTTCTCCAGCTGGCCCCATGCCTGGGGGAGAAAGGAGGAAGCAGTCAGATTCCAACAACTCCCTACAGTTTAATGGCCTTGCTTCTCTGGGGCCACTCATAGCATTTATGGCACCTTTCTGCAAACTGGAAAAAAATGTTGCTTCCTTATGACATTGTACTTCTGGAAAACTGTCAGAATGTATACCCAGTCCATGATGTCTACAATGTAAACGGCTCCCTTGAGCAGTGTACAACCTACACAACTCCACAGAGCCACCCAGTCTCTCCCCCACATCTCCAGCCTCACCTTGTCAATATCCCAGATGCCACAGCCCTCCCGAGGCACAAAGAGGCGACGGTTGCAGGCACGCAGTTTGCTCTGGATGCTGAAGAGCAGCACCTCCAGGTTCCCCTTCTCCTGAAACCTGAAGAAGGCATGAGCTCAGGAGCCCTGCCTCCATGCCATCGCCTACCACCCTCTCCCCTGACCTGGGCTCACTTGACGGGCTTCTCCAGCGTGCAATAGGCTGTGAAAGCCTGAAGCTGCTGCTGCACCCCACTCAGTGAGTTGGCAAACTTCTGGTTGCTGATGAGGCCCACGGTGCGGTGGATCCAGGCCAGCAGCTCAGCCGCCAGCTCCTCATAGCGCTCTATGATCTTTCTCACCTCCAACACCTGATCCAGGACCTGACCCAGCAAAGGATGGTGGGATCCACCTCATCCCACATAGGCCTGCAGGTGGTTCCCAGGCTCCTGCCCGCCCTGTTCCTTGGCCTTTCATACCTTCCCAATCCGCTTCCCCTCCACAGCCAGAGCTTTCATCTTGGAGAAATAGTGGTAGAAAGAGACCACATAGGTGATGATGGATTTCTCGTCTGGAGCCTCCATGTTCACATCTGGGGGGAAAAGAGGAGTATGGGAGCATGACGGTGGGCACTCTAACAGAGGGACTGAAGGTATTGGGTAGAGTGAGAGAAAACCCAATCTTACTAGCTGTGTGACCTTGGGCAAGATAATTAACCTCTCTGTTCTTCAGTTTTTGTATCTGCCAAATGGGGATTTAGCTCATGGGATTAAATGGTACCTGACATATAAAAACCACCATAGAGAAATTATCAAAAATTATTTCTTGAACATGCCATTCTACCTTCCACCTCAGAGCCTTTGCACGTGCTGTTCTGTCTGAAACACTGTTCCCTCTTCGATGTGCCCAACTCCCACTCATCCTTCAGGGCTGAACTCAACTTGAATTTCCTCAGATAAGCCTCCATGTTCACTCTGTCTAGAGATGGTCCCCTCATGTTATCCTCCTTTTAACATCTTGTCATTTCCTTCCCAGAAAAAGTATCACAATTTGTAATTAAATATTCACTTATGTGATTTTGTCATTATCTAGAGTTTAATCTCCAGGAAGACAAGGACTATGCCTTTTTGTTTGTTTGTTTTTTTACCATGATTCTTGCCATGCCCAACACATAGTAGGAGCTCAATAAAAATTTAGTAAGTGCATGAATGGTGTATGAGGTTTGAGGTCAAGAACATGGGCTTTGGAAACAGCATGTGCTTGAATCATAGCTCAACCACTTAATCGCTGTATGTTTTTTAGAAAACTGATCTAGGGCCGGCCCGGTGGCGCACTGCTGTAGTGCGCCGCTTGGGAAGCGCGGTGGCGCTCCCGCCCGAGGGTTCGGATCCCACATACAGACCGGTTCCCGCTCACTGGCTGAGCGAGGCGCGGGGGCAACCCGAGGGTTGCGATCCCGTTGCCGGTCCCGGTCCGGTACGGGAGCGACACTGAGGGTCGCGATCCGTTG